GGTTTGGATTCCAGTGAATCGCGAACGCGTGAGAGGAGTCGCGTTTGCGTAAGGTAATTGGAGCAGCTGGGACCCCAAGAGTTTTATGCTACGGGTTCGCGTAGGTAAGGTCGGGTTCGCGAAGGCTTGGTCAGTTGAAGCTTCGCGTTCGCGTAGAGGATGTCGCGTTCGCGAAGGAGGAATAATTGGTCAGTGAAATTTTATGCTTCGCGAACGCGAAGAAGGAATTAATCCTTGGGCAGAATGTTTAAATAGTTGTCTTTGTGATTTTAGTCTATTTTCCACCATTGTTGAGCGGTTTTGAAGCTTTTTGAGGGGGATTGAAGAGGGAATCGAAGGGAAACACTTGGTGATTTCTATGGTAATTTCTACCTAATTAGACATGAAATTAGTGGGATTTAAAGCCTAAAATTAGAGAATTAGGGCTTGAAATTGGAGAGTATAAATTGGGGATTTTAGGGACCACTTGAGGTCCGATTTTGATGTTCTTGGTATGTATGGACTCGTGGGAGGATAAGGATTCTAGTGATACAATTTTTATCGAAATCCGAGACATGGGCCCGGGGGTCGGGTTTGGCCAATTTCGAGATTTTTGAGTTAATTTGATTATTTTCGCTTGGGCTTTGTTCCTTTAGCGCGTATTAATGGTATGATACTAATTTTGGTTAGATTTGGGGCAATTGGAGGCCGATTCGAGGGGCAAAGACATCGCGGGCTAGAGTTTGGACCGGATTGAGGTAAGTAATGATTGTAAATGTTGTCCTAAAGGTATGAAACCCCGGATTTCACATTGTTGTGCTATTTTGAGGTGACATACATGCTAGATGACGAGCGTGGGCTCGTGCACCGTTGGAGATTGTGACTTGGTCCATCCTGTACGACTATTAAGTCGTGTATTTGATTGAAAACTGTTGATATCATTATGTTTTGGAAAGTATTACTATGTTTTGGGTTGAATGCCATATTTGGGCCTCGTGCCAACTGCTTTGGACCCTTAGGGGCTTTTTACTATTATTCCTCACTGCTTTGACTGAATATTTGAACTCAGCCATGCTGTATTCTACTGTTTTCATAACTCAGGCATATTTACTCCGTTTTTGCTATTTTAAATGATATTTTGGACTGAGCATCATGTTTTACTGTTGCCCGAGTGGCTTAAGAGATTTTTGACTGAGTGCGGCTAAGGGTCTGTATTGTGCGGATATCATGGGATCGGGCTGCGCGCCACAGCATGTGTACTGATTTGTGATATAAGAGAGGCCGAGGGCCTGATTTGCTATGCGACGAGATGACTTGTTATATCGCTTGGGCTGTAGGAGCCCCTTCGGAGTCTGAACACCTCCGGTGAGCGCGAGTACCCAGTGTGAGAGATGTGATATTTCCCGAGAGGCTGTTGTTGTTTCATGTTGTTGCTCGAGGGTCTGATTAGGAGTGATTCTGAGGTAGCCCGAGGGGCTGGATCTGTTGATACTTTGCCCGAGGGGTGGTTGTAGTGCATGTTTTGCCCGAGGGGCTGTTTACGTTTCTATCCCTTTTACTCCCTGTTTTTATCACTCATTTGAAACTATTGAAAGATGTTTCAAAAAGGTTTTACTGAATTGAGTTGTTTTTTATGAGTTTTATGGATTTACTGTATTGTTATGGACATATACTGTTTTGTTGTAGTGCTATGATGTGAAGTTACCTGTTTTCTTACTGCCCAGCTGCTTTTACTTTTATTACTTACTGAGTTGGAGTACTCACACTACTCACTGCACCTTGTGTGCAGATCCAGGAGTCTCGGGACGCGGTAGTGAGTCCTGATCAGTCTTCCAGCAGGTCTCCGGAGTTGACTAGGTAGCTGCTTGGCGTTCGCAACCCTGTGCTTTTCCTTCCTATCTTATTTAGAATGTCTTAGTAGTTATTTTCGGACTATGTCATCCTTTCTTGTTTCTAGATGAGTGTGTAATTGCTCATGACTAGTGACACCGCAATGTCGAGCTTGTGTTATATTTACGCATTATTTGTCTAAACTTACATTATGGGATTTTAGTTAATTAATGATTTTAAATGACTTCTTATGATCTTATAGTTGGTTTTGGGTTTGTGTCTGCTGACCTAGTTTCATGATAGGCGCCATTACGACCGGGTCACTTTTAGGGTCATGACATCTTTATTTTTCCTACTACTTTAATATTGTCTAAAATAAATTAATCTTATAAAAGTTATTATTAAAATTTCTCAGACCTCAAAATTTTTTGGGCCTAAATCAAGGCTTTACTATCCACATTCTCAATCAAATTTTATTGAGTCTCAATTAGTATATGACAACAACGGCAAAAAACATTAAAGGTGGTGAATGTATCATTGAGATACCAAATGTGAATGAAGCTAGTTGGACATCATGTTCATGAAATTCAACGAAACTGGTAGCTTAAAATCAAAATATATTAAAAGACTCTTAAACTTCTTTCATTAAATTCATATTAATAATTAGACGTGTATGTGACTTTGATCTAGCAGTGAGAGCACAACGCATGATGTGTGAGTTATGTGCACGTCATGGTATTGAACTATCCCCTATACAAAAATACGGTATTAAGTAAAAATGGTAAAGGTGTAAGCCTGTTATTCATCGAGTTTTACATACTGCGAAACTTGCCTCAGGGATTTCTTAGTTAAAAAAGATGAGACACAAAAAAATTTACTTTTTTTGTATGGATCAATTATGTGTGATAAAAATGAATAGCTAATTTAAAAATCTGAGTTGATAATAGAAAGTAAATTTTTGATAAAGATGAAAAAAGATTTTATATATAGGAAGAAAAATATAGTTGATGAGAAGGTAAATATATTATTTAATTTAATGGCAACAAAATTTATCGTATTATTTTACTCAATCCTACCCCTACCAAATTTAAAACATTGCTAAAATTTAAAATCCATATATATATATACACACGTTAGTTGGTTGGGTGTGTGGTTTCCCATATGAGAGACCAAGGATCGATTTCTCTCAAAAAGAAAAAAGAAAAAAAGAAAAAATGACCTAACAATAGCAGAAGATCAACAAAACAAGGTTAATAATATAACTTCCAAACACTAATTTGAAACGTAAAGTTTACCCCCAAAGACCCCCCACCTGCTGAACCTTCAACCTCCATTCTCACCGTAAATTCATGATATTCTAATTAAATTTTTATTGTGCTTAATTATTATTTTTTTCATCAATTTCTGTTGTTTATACTCAAATTTTATAATTTAAATATATTTTAATATAATACTTATGTGATTTAAAACAATTTCTTGTCGACGCATAAGTAAAGACTAATTTGATAATATTTTTAACGGAAAATGGTCAGAACTGTCCTTAACCAATTCGCTTTAGTGATCCTACCGTTAAAAATCTAGCCTATTTGTGCCCTCATTTCTAACGGGCTACTTATCAATAAAAAAAGGTTTTGTTAATTTCACGTAGCTATTTTTGACTGATCATTAAATATGACACCTCCAATCCATATTTCAGCCCATCCATTACCCATCCCGATCACCTGACCCATCAAAAACCCTTTTAGCCCCAAAACACCCGATTTCATATCATTTTTCACCTATTTCAAAAATCTGGACATTACTAATCAAAATAACAACTTCTCTATCATTTTGCAAGCCAGAAAGACAACAAAAATAGCTCATGATCATAGTATAAACTTTTTCCATTGCTTCCATTTCGACTCTATAAATTTGAAACTTTCTCCTCCAATGTAGATAGATTATTCAAATCTGCTGCTTTACTACCAACCATATCATCGACCGCCTCCTAAGCTTATTCCTTTCTCGAGAAGTGTATCTAATGAATTTTTTTGCTCGTGGATAAACATTTGTCACATGAGGTGGAAGTTCTTCATCGTGCCATTCCCAATAACGACAATCATTAGTCTCGTAACGAGGACGTTTATAGAATCTACGACCACCATTCATAGTCGTAGCAGTAAATAATGATTGGCTATCAGTCCACAATAACAAGCATGAAAGCCACTTGGGTCACGAGAAGAAGTAGAGGAAGATTCAGACATTTGAAGCAAAAAAAAAAAAAACTCCAATTTACCAAATTCCGAGTTAAGAGATGAAAGATGAGAGAGGAGAGAAGACAAAAATTGCAGTATTTAGCAGTATGAAAACTGATATGAAATCGGGTATTTTGGGGCTAAAAGGATTTTTGATGGGTCGGGTTGGTCTGGATAGGTAATGGATGGGCTTATATATGGATTGAGGTGTACCATATTTAATGACCAATCAGAAATGGCCGCATGGAATTAACAAAATCTTTTTTTTAATGATATGTAATCCGCTAGAAATGAGGGCACAAATAGGCTAGATTTTTAACGGTAGGGTCACTCTTAACAAAATAGATAGACAAAGAGCATTTATAGACTGAAAGTACTAGGTTAGGGGCCGTTCTAGCCCTTTTCGGTATTTTAAATAAAGGGGTGAAGGGATTAGATTAGTTTCAATAGCATTTAATAGATCGGTCCAAATTCACCATAAAATCAACAGTCTAATTTTAATTTATTCGGTTCAAAATTCAAACATACTGCATTAATCCCTAAAAAACATTCTCCTATAGTTTTGGGTCTGCAAATGTATTTATTTTTATTTCTTAGTAAAAGAAATTACTACTCCCTCTATTCCTGTGAATCTATTTTCTTTTTGGTCCGTTCCAAAAAGAATAAACCTTTTTTAAATTTGGTAACAATTTAGCTTAAAGTTATAACTTTACCCTTAATGATAAGCTTTTATAACCACACAAATACTCTTGGTCCCATTTGAACTTGTTTAGTACCACAAATTCAAAAAGTATTCATTTTCTACTTAAACTCCGTGCCTTGAGTTAAACAGTTTCAACTATATTTGTTTTTTGAAAGCGACGGAGGGAACGGCAGTTGAAAGCTTCAACCAGATAAACATATGCATCATTTGTCTTGTACTAAGAGCTAACAATGTTGTACCTTTTGCTCTGAAAGTGACTGTTGTTACAAGAAATTCCCAGTGTACTTAGCGTATTTTCTAATTTTGTCAGTTTTTCTTTGTCTTTTTTCTCTCCTTTCTCTCCATTGCTGCCTAGTGTAACCTTTGAGCAATTTCCTCTCTTTTTGTTGGTTCCTCTGTTTTCATTCATCCACTCAATGGCCTTTGAGTTTCCCTTTAATAAGCATCTCAGTTTTTCTGGGAAGATTTTATACCCCTTTTGTTTGTTTTACTCAATCCAAATTTCCAATCAAAGAAAAATCAAAGGAAATTCACTGTTTTTTGGTGGGTTTTATGTGTTTTTATTGTTTGGTTTAATGGTGTCTCCTAATGGAACATAATACAAGCTGAAAGGTACTTCCTTTTGCTCATATATGTGTTTCTTGATTGTTTCCTATTTTTTCTTGGAGGGTATCTTGCATAGTTTATAACACGAGCTTAAATGGAGAAACATGGTCAGTGAGGATTCGTATAGTCGAGACGTAGTTGTTGTTGTAGGGTAAGCTGCATAGTTTATAACACGAGCTTAAATGGAGAAACATGGTCAGTGAGGATTCGTATAGTCGAGACGTAGTTGTTGTTGTAGGGTAAGTTGCATAGTTTATAACATGAGCTTATATAGAGAAACGTAGTTAGTGAGGATTCATATAGTCCAGACGTAGTTGTTGTTGTAGGGTAAGCTGCATAGTTTATAACACGAGCTTAAATGGAGAAACATGGTCAGTGAGGATTCGTATAGTCGAGACGTAGTTGTTGTTGTAGGGTAAGCTGCATAGTTTATAACACGAGCTTAAATGGAGAAACGTAGTCAGTGAGGATTCATATAGTCGAGACGTAGTTGTTGTTGGAGGGTAAGTTGCATAGTTTATAACATGAGCTTAAATGAAGATGATCCATACAGTCGGGACGTAGTTCTTGTTGTTGTAGGGTATGTTGCATAGTTAAGATACACTATGGAATGTTTGGTATTGGTTAGAAAGATGGAATTGACATTTTTAAAGTTTTCCTAATCCAAATTTCCAACCAAGAAAATCAAAAGGAAATCACAGGTTCTTGGTGGGTTTTATGTGTTTTTCTTGTTTGGTTTATGGGATCTTTTGATGGAACATAGTACAAGCTGAAAGGTACTTCCTTTTTCACAGTTGTACTTTAAGGTCTGCTCATATTTATGTTTCTTGATTATGCCCTTTTTGTTCTTGGAGGGTATGTTGCAAAGTTGGAGTATTGACTTTGGAATATTGGGTTTTGGTTAGAAGAGATATTCGGAAATAGTCTCTCTACCTTCATAGGTAGGGGTACACATTACCCTCCCCAGACCCCACTTGTGGGATTCCACTGGGTTGTTGTTGTTGTTGTTGGTTAGAAGAGATGAAATTGACATTTTATTTACGAATTCTTGTTTATGACTTGTTCATGTTTAGTTAGAGTAACTTTAGAACTGAGTTTTGATTAGAAGAAGAATAAAGTTGATATTTGTAAAGTTCTAATGTTAACAGGTTTATGTATTTAATTTATTTAGTTTTGCCTTGTTTTGATCTCTTTTGATGGAGCAGATACTAAGGCGTTCAATGCTAGTTTTGTGAAACTTAAGTTCTTATTCAAATCTAAGGTTCTTTTTCTGTTTTGTTCTTTTCCCCTTCTGATGAAATGCAGTTTAAGTATCTAGAGATGTTCTTTTGGTGTGAAGTACGTGACTTGTGCAATTCATAGTTTTGATGTTTTATATATTTGTTTTATTTGTGTGATTGCAGACATCTGTTGAGGAAATGACTATATTTAAAGCAACACAGTAAGGTATTTGAAACTTGAGTTTTTATTCGAAGGATTTCGTGTGGTAGAATCATCACATTATTGGTATTGAACTTTCTCTTTTGTTTGCTCTCATTTAGGTGGTTTGATATTCTAATCTGAGCGAATATGTCCATGTCACTCGAGGACCTCCTCGCAAAGGAAGGATTCAATAAGAGGATGTCAAAAACAGTGCCTAGAGCTTCATCCGGAACAAAGGCAAGACGTGAACCTATTTACACACTTCAAGAACCTCATAAACTTGTGTCTTCATCAGGTGGCATGACAAAATCTGCTATCCCGTGGCATGACTTGAAAGATAAGACCCCGAGAGTCAATTTTGCAGATAGGAGGCAAAAGAAGGAAAGTAAGCACAGAATGGGCTCGTGCGATCTATCATCGGATGTTAAGAGAATAAGCATTAGTTCTTTTGATGAATTGCTAGCTGCTGATGCTTCTCAAAGCAATGAGATAGTTGAGATTGGAGAGCGAAATGGTTCGAGATACAATCATATATACTCAAATCAAACTTACAGAAATAGGAGTGGTGAAGGCAGGTCTTCTAGCAGAAGTGAGGAAGCAGAAGGAAAGCGACAATCCTTCGGAAAAGATACAAAAGCAACAACAAAATGTCTCAATAATTCTGGTAAACTTCTTTCAGATTATCAGAAACATATTGAACAGCCTGAGACCTCCTACAGCAGATCAACTAGAAGTTCGCTAACCAACAAAAGTTATGATGCAATCAGAAGCCTAAAAAAAGCTGAAATTGAGCACACTGCAGTTATTCCTGCTCTTGATGAAGTTGCTGTTCAGGCTGTAATCTCTATCTTGAGTGGATACATAAAACGTTTTCTCGTAGATGAGGATTTTAGGACATCACTTCGTCACAATAGTTTCGCTTCCCTTAATTTTGTTGGACTAGAAGAAGGCCTCAATACTGAAAGCAAGGTCCTAGCCACTCTTGAACAAGCTATTGAAACAGTAGAAAGAGCTGCAGAGGATTGTGCGAACGAAAAAGAACTTAAGAAAGCCTCACTTCAGCTTAGTGTAATTACAGGGTTGAATTCAAACAATTTACGAGATGGATTTACTTCTGGTATTCCCAATTTTAAATTAGCAGCTTGTGCTCATCTGTATCTCAGTGTCATATATAAGATACAGAAGAAGGATCGTATAGCTGCAAAGCACATACTGCAAGTTTTCTGTGATTCACCTTTTCAGGCAAGGACTAATTTGTTGCCTGATTTGTGGGATCACATCTTTTTTCATCATTTATCAAATTTGAAGGCCTGGTTTGATTCAGAAGCTAATTTTCTCGGTGGTCTACATAATAAGTCAACGAAGCTGAAGTTTCTTGAAAAAATGTACAATGAAAATCTGGATAAAGGTACTTATAAGTTTGCACTTTACTACAAGGAATGGTTAACAGAAGGGGCTGACATTCCGTTACTTCCTTCTATTGAAATTCCTTCTGTATCTGTTCAGTATGAAGGTTCCTTTAGTAACACTTCCCACTTAAGTAGTACTGTTGGCAGTTTCTCACCTCAGCCAGTGGTCAGCAAAAAGTTGTATGATGAAGTGTTCTGTCATTCACATAAACTAGAAAATGAATCAGAGGAGCACCGGGAAGAAAGCTATGAAGTTAGTGTGAGGAGGCCTTCTAGTTTTGCTGCCGAAAACCTGGTAGCATTGAAATACTCTGCTGAAGTGATTAAGCGTATAGATCATGATGTTGAGCCTGGTGCTATAGTTGATTCAGTAAGTGTTGAATACATAACTTCAAAAGAAACATAGATCGTTATTAGGCAAAAATGTGCAAATATGTGTACATTTTGTTGGTTAAATCCTGGCTAAGTTCCGTCCCACATTTGGCCAGTGAGATTTGAAGCAAATAAAATACTTTATGGTCCATTTGACACGATAAAATGTTTTAGGTTATGGTTGTAATTTTTGGGATGTTTGTTTTTGAACTAATGACATAGACTTCTTTGCTCCTGTAATCCAACATAATCTTGGTTTCTTCTAAATCTACTTTGTAAACCTACTTGTACTTCTATCAATACTTTTGAAGCAGTTTCAGTATTGTTGTTCCTTCCGTCTTCGATGCTATTTTTAAATGCTTCACTTAGGTGTGGATGTAGCTCATGATTTTATCTCTTTCCAATTCTCAATTACAGTTCTGTAAACTTGAAATGTATGATAAGATTTATGAATGTAAACATACGTGCCTTTTCTTTTGTCGTTGGTCTTACCAAATTAAGATATGCAGTTCAATCTGTTCTTGTTAAATAGTGTCAATGATTAGTAAAGTAAATGTGAAAGTTGTCGGATCAGTTTAGTAGTTTTCACTTTTCTGTGCATTTCTAGATCTAGTGAGTTAGGATCTATGCTTGCCAAATATTATTATTTCCCCTTTCAGATTTTATATTACATAAGACAAGTTACACTCTGTGGAGTTCTTTTGTGTAGTATGGTGCATCAACAGGGGATGCAGAGGGTGTTTCCGGAGTGAATTCTCCAGAAGAAAAAAATTTAATGGAAACATTTGGAAACTCTGATCTGAAGGAAACAACTCCGTTGAAGTCGAACATGCCAGAATCGTTTGCACCTGCAAATCTGACCGAGTTCATATTCAACAGGATAGCGAAAGCAGCTTTTGAGCGAAAGGAGACTGAAGATTCTATCATCGATGCTGCTCCTCCTCTTCTTCTATTCTCGGAAGTTGCTTTGGCTCTTGATTGCACGGTAACATTCTAAACTCTTTGTTCTCCTCAATTATTAGAAGAGGAGCTATACTTTTTACTTTTTCATTATGATCTCACCATTTTACTTTGAAAATGCAGCCAACTGAGGCACTGCTTCCTGCTCAAGGTAGGTGAAAATCATCTTTGAGAGTGTTTCCTTTACATTCAGTAATTTATTAAATAGTTATGATGATGCTTTGAAAATATTTAGGAGTCGATTATGAAGATTATGTTGGAAGATCTTCCGCCAACATACCACAGGAATTTATCTGCCCTTTGACTGGACTTCTTTTTGAAGATCCAGTTACCCTAGAGACTGGCCAAACCTTTGATAGAGCATCTATTACTAGCTGGTTTTCTAAAGGAAATAGAACATGTCCAGTAACGCGAAGATTGTTAGAATGCCAAAGTGTACCCCGTACTAACTTCACTTTGAAGCGTGTTATCACCAATTGGAAGTCCGAACATTGGAGGCGTCTTCTGACCTATTTCTCTAAAGCAGCAGGCGATTCAGGGAAACATCGTTGGTTAAAGAATGAAATAGTTGTTTCCGTGTTGCAACAACTTCTTATTGTTTTAAATCAGGATGAAAGAAGAGAAACTCTAGAGCAGCTTATATCCCTCGGAAGCTTACAGTTTCTGATCCAGAGATTTAATTGTGGAAAGTTGAGGGAGAAGATACGTGTTTCTGGGATTCTTTGCTCTTGCATTGAAGCTGACAATAATTGTAGAAATGTAGTTGCCGGAAATGTTGACAAGATGTGTCTGCTTAATCTTCTTCGGAATGAAGAGTTGGAATTGAGAAGAAATGCCTTTTCACTCCTGACTGAACTCATTTGCCTTAACAGGTACTTGGTTTTCCTTTTTGGGAAATTTGAATATTAGATTATACCAAACATATAGTTAGATGAAACTTGTTTTGCACTTAAGCAGTCCGAAATACTATATATTTGCTGGACTATGATGCAGTCTTAGTGGGGGAATGATAACACGTTGATTTAGTTAACGCTGTTCTGCGCTCCCATGTTTCAGGAGAAAAGATGCAAAGTTCTTCATAAAAGGCATTCACAAGGATAACATAGTCAAAACAATGAATGATTTACTGATGTATCTCCAGGATTGTCCATGTGAACAGAGATCCATGGTTGCTGTGCTGCTCCTACACTTTGATCTTCTAGTAGGTTTCAATTTAAATATTTCTCTAAACGAAGTTCATGAACGCTCTCATATTCTTCGACGATACTGCTTATGTCCAATTCAGTTTCTTTGAGCTTGTTGCTGCAGGAGTTTTGATATTGGATAATTTATTAAGTGAATATCAAAGGCACTTAGAGAAACACCTTCTCTTGTTTCTCAATTCTCTTATATACATATGTTTCTTTGCTGAACCACAGTTTTTTTTCCGCTTGAGCTCGTAGATTGCATGTCAAACTCAGTCAGCAGATTAGGCTCTGCTCTTCTAGACATCCGGTGATTTGGATTTTCTTAATTGGATATTCCCCCTAAACTGCATGCTAATACCAATCAGGTTACTAGGTTGTGTTTCTAAAGACCTACAATATCTCAAAATAAATTTGGACTTAGCCAAAACCATAACATAATGGAAGAAAATGATGTATATAGGCAACTAGTTGAGATCATGACTGACTTCTTGTTGTTATAGTTTGATTAGGCCCGGATGGGGAGAAGTCTGAGATTTGGAGAATTTCGAGTTTTAGAGGAATCTTAATTTTTCCTTAAAAAACAAATTATATACCAGCATTGGAATGAAATGTAATGTGTTCGACTAAAACAGAATCTTTATATATGAATCAATATACCCTATAGCAAACCCCATCTAGTTTGTGATTGAGGAATAGTCGTTGTAGTTTTTGTCACTTGTTTAAAAGACAACTGTGACGCCCTAGGCAAATCCCACATCGATAAAACACGAGAGAGATACTGGGTAATAAGTAAATAGGCCTTAGACCCTAGTGACGCGTTTTAAAGCCGTGCGGGCCCTAGGCCCAAAGCGGATATATACTAGTGGTCTGGGCTGTTACATATGGTATAGTCCCTAAGAAGGGGGAGGGGGGGTGTATGTGACGCCTGTTAGGACCGAAAAAATCAGGTGTCATGCGGAAGCTAGCAAAGCAAATCTTGAACGACGATAAGTCACTACTCTCAAGCCCCTATGACTACATTGTGGATGCTGCTGAATGAGAAGGACAGATCTTCAATTTATAGAACTCCAAACCTTTTCCTACAAGAAAAAGGACTAGCCAAGTATAGGAGAATTATAATTTCCTTCTAAGGAAAATTCAATTAAGGTAATTATATTGCCCTTTCCTTCAACAAATAGGAAAACCAAATATGGTAAGAAAATTATGGCAAACACCTAACAATTCTCCCCCTTGGCCGGAATTTTCTGACAAAATAAACTTGATCCACCTTCTTCACATAACCTTCAACAAGTCGCATATCCAAATCTCCACCACAAGGTTTGTCTCAACGTGCGTAGCACACCGGTCAAATTTCTCAGAAAAAAAATCACGATTATGGACATAATGCTGGGTATGTGCTAATATCGACAAATCCTATATCGACAAAATACGGGAGAGATGCTGGGTATATAAGTAAGCAGACCTTAGACTCTAGTGACGCATTTTAAAGCCGTGCGGGCCCTAAGCCCAAGCGGACAATATCACTAGTGTGCTGGGCTGTTACAACAACAAAATTTTTAAGGTCAATGTCATTTCGAGTCTAGGAACTAATTTTGTATTTGAATCTTACAGGCAGACACAAAAATGCCCAACACATACAGAGATGATGCTGTTGATGCTATGACTATGGCCTTAGAAAGCAGCTTATCGGATGAAAGGAGCAGAGAAATATGTTGCAAAGCACTCCTTATTCTGGGAGGACATTTTTCTTTCTCGGGTAAGATTATGACAGAGGATTGGATCCTAAAACAAGCTGGATTTCTTGAAGGTTTTGACGTGGAATATCCTGATGACGAAGAGAATAAACTGGTTGATGCAACTGTTATGACGGTAAGTTTTCTTCTTTTTTCCTGACTGAATTCATCTAAGAGATCATTTCATCGAAATACAAAATTATATGGACTTACACCAGTAGTTACACCAATACCACTTCGGACTAATTGAACTTAGGACCAGCCAAAAATTTCTATACCCCATCTTTGTACCGTCTTTTTGTGGTATTTATAATTGCCTCATAATACTCTAATAAACTGAGTCATTTACATTCCCTCATTCTCTGAGCATTGTGAACTTCATATGGTGTAGCAAATAATATTGTCTTCCTATGATTGTAAAGTGTAAACTGAAGCGCGAAAATTGTTAGATGGAGGACGAAGAAGAAGAGGCGAGGAAAAAGTGGTTGGTAAATGCATCCGCATTACTCATTGGTAGTGGCAAGAAGTCATTTGTGGAGGCTCTTTCAAAGTGTTTAGGTTCTGGAAACTCAGAATTGGTTAGGATTTGTCTAACCACAGTTGCATGGTTAAGCTCAGCACTCGCTTCACTGACTGACTCGGAGTTTGAACTATCTGCATTTTTGGCTATTATCAGTCAGCTGATAGAATGCTTACAACATGGTGATTTGGTTGAACATAAGGTTTTAGCTTCAATGTCTCTTCTCAACTTCAGCAAGATTCTAGGTTAGTCCTTTAGCTTCTGTTAAGACCTTTAAATAGCTGCAAAATGTTGTTTTGGTTATACATATTTCAGTTTCTAGATAGTTTAGTAGTTAATGAGACTGAAATTGGAGTTTGTAGACTAAAGTCACTAAAGTTTCCACTATAGCAGTAAATTTATAGAACTATCTATTATCACATTAAAGTAACTGATATTTACCCATTATAGCGGTAAAGTCACTTAATTTTACCCATTCTAAAGACAAAACTTACCCATCAAGGTGACTTTACGATTATAGCAGGTAATTTTTTTGACTTTTTATTGTTATAAGTAAGTAACAGTCATTTATTCTAATGTAACTAAAAATAGTATTGCGACCTCCATTTCAAACAAAATAAAGTTTTGTGACATTGCTTTTGTAGTGGTAAGGTTTAACAATAACAACAACAATAAACTCTGTATATTTTTACAAGTGGGATCTGGGAAGGTAGTGTATACGCCATACCTTACCCCTTACCTAGAAAGTAGAGAGGCTGTTTCCGATAAACCCTCGACATAGTGGTAAAGTTTAGTTACTATAATATGACAAAATAATTTTGTGACTTTACTGTTATAGTGGATAAGGTTCAGTGACTGTACGTGCAATTTACCTGTCAGAACTGAGAAGAGAACATATATTTCATCACTTTCCTCAAGGGGTTGGTATACATGGACAAAGAAAAAAGGATAAGCGCTGCTAGTGTGGGCATAATGCTCTAAAAATTTACTTGTCAGTAGATAAGAAAATTCTGATTCTTAAAAATGGTTTGAACCTCACACTTGTTGATTATTTGATTTCTGTCTATTTTTATTTGGCTATTTAATTCTAAGGTTTTGCTCCTAGAATGTAGGGTCTTACTGATGATGATAGCAGAGGATATTGCTGGTCCTCTAGAAAGCCTTGTTGAAATTACATGGGCAGCAAAAGAACTTTATGCCATAATTTTCTGCAGCTAGAGGCGGAAACTGAGGACAAAAGAATTACTCAATTTACTGTAAAATCTTTTTCCTTTATTTATCTGTTTCTTCTCAAAATATGCTAGCCGAGTGTCTATCGGAAATAGCTTCTCTGCCCTTCCAAGGTAGGGATAAGGCTACATACATTTTACCTTCCCCATACCCCACTCGTGAGAATTCATGGGTTTGTTGTTGTTGTTCTCAAAATATTTAAGGTATGCGTACATAAGATTCAATGTGGTCTGATTCTTCTCGGATCCCATGCACGTGAGCTTAGTGCACCAGGTTGCCCGTTATCTATTTCTTCTCAAAGAAAAAGGAGAAAGCTTGAGTGGTTAATTGTAAATCATGTGAATAAACAAGATGAATGACTTTTAGTCTACTTGCTTTTCAACTCTTTCTATTTCTTGTTTAGCCACTTATAGTGATGGTACTTCATTTTCTGAAATCACAGTGTTACTTCTTTGTTCTGAAATCATACTGTTAGGGTGCAGCCCTTCCCCGAATTCTGTGTGAATACGAAATGCTTGTGCATCGGGCTGCCCTATTATAGTGTTACTGCTTTCCTTGATTCCTTTGATAAGTCTTTGATGTATTTTGCACATTATTAGACACTATAATATGATCTTTCTGTAGCATAATTCAAGTTCCTTTGACTATAATTTTCTTGGGGGTATTATTACTTTTAGCTTGCGCTAGAAACTATTTACATTTCGTAGCTGAAAAAGAATATAAAATTTGTATAATTTTTGTATATAGCATACATAATGTATATATATACAAAAATATATACTAATTTTATACATTTTTCAGCTATTATTTTTATGGCGGCTTTACAATGTCATTTTTTCAATTTTTTTCTTTGTTATTACCACTACAGCTTTCAACTTAGGAAGAAAACTATCTTGTATTTTATATTTGAAAATCATTTATTCGATTAAATTAAATTTGTAGTTTGAAGAGTTTTTTTTTTAATTTATTTTTAAGGCTCTAAAAGTTAAGAGTGAAGGATTCACACAATCAGTCCACCACATTTCTTGATTAAAAAATTCCAATCTTTTTTATTTCAACAAATTTTCATTTTATCTTGAAATAAGAAGGGGGGAAAATACTGAAAAGTAGAGTAAATTGGAGCACGAAATGAGTAATATAATATATAATTACAATTTTGATAGATGTGCCAAATTATTGCTGATACACAACATTTTACATATAGAAAGAGTAATGTAGTAAATAATATAATACAAGATTTGGAATTAAGCATTAAGTCTTTATTTTTACTCCTCCTCCTTGGACAGCTTAATCACCTGAAATTAATTAACATAATGCAGCATTAGGCACTACAGTATTCAGAAAAGAAGGAAATACTTCACCAATTAGAAAAAATAATTTTAATCGTTTTACGATTTTTGCGTGTCAAACTACTTTTTGTCCAAGTAGTTAGAAGTTCGAAAGGAGATATTATAAGATATATTTTAACCGAAAGAATTTTCAAATTTTATACATGTAGAATTTAAAACTTGCTACTATAATAGAAAACATGAATTATAGCCTGTTTGACCAAGTTTTGTTTTGGCCAAAAATACTTTTTTTTTTTTTTGCCAAAAGCTCTTTCGGCAAAAAATTGAGGTGTTTGGCCAAGCTTTTGGAAGGAAAAAAGTGCTTTTGAGGAGAAGCAGAAGCAGTTTTGGAGAAGCACAATTAAGTAGCTTTTCTCAAAAGTACTTTTGGTGATAAGCACTTTGTGTTTGACTAATTAGTTTGAAAAACACTTCTGAGCAGCAATTAGTGTTTGGCCAAACTTTAAAAAACTGTTTCAAAAAACACTTCTCAAAATAAGTTGATTTTTGCAGCTTGGCCAAACGGGCTATTAATCTAAATATTCGTCAATCCATCCGCTTAAATAAAAAATAATCGACGAATATATAATATATTCATAATTCACGTGTAATATGTGTATAAGTGTCTATAGTCTAGGATACCTGCTAGAAAAAATAAACAATAAATTTGCTAAGCTATTTATGTAAAGATCACTTTTATAGTCGGACGGATTTACTCTAACCGGTATATATAGATTATACACTGAGTATATGCGATTATATACATATTCTATATGAATTATAGATATATTCATCTGTCAATAACTTTTAATTTAAGGGGTTGGGTGAGGCTCTTTGAATTAATTTTTTAATTCTTCTTAAACGAAAGGAAGGTGTGGAGGTAGTCGAGCATTTTTCTGCTTCATATCGGGGGTGAGACTAGTTTGATAGGGTTGGTCTTAGATAATTAGATCTCAATATTGCGTTCACATTATCCTTCCGTTTTTCATAGCACCAACCTTATTTACTGGTTATTATTATTGCATTTCATCAATTTTCTAGTTCTTATGATGCTGTAATTATTTCTATGGTTTCTTTTGATGGTACTTATATATTGTTTTTTCTCGTCTTTTTCGTCTTCTTGAGCCAAGGTACTATCAGAAACAACCTTTCTATTCTATCGAGGTAGGGGTAAGATTTACGTACATATTATCCTCTCCATATCCTACTTATGAAATTTTACTACGTGTTAAACAGATAAAAATGACCAAAGGAAGTTATGCTAGAAAGAAGTAGGAGAAGAAGCGATTGACAACTTACTTGCAAACCCTTGCAAGGGCTATTAACATCACAATAAGATCCAACAGAGATCAAATCAAAATAGTACTTATCCTCTGCATATTTATAGCAAGGGCAACTAGTACCAAGTATGCTCTTGAATGTTGGGCAGCATGGATCAATTTTAGTTGTGTTGACCATGCACTTGTCAATCTTTGCTTCGTCACTAGCTGAGCAGCTCGAACTTGGGGTGGGAGGGGGTGGGGATGGTGGTGGAGGTGGAGGTGAGCATGGTGGTGGAGGTGGAGGCGGACATGGACGTGGCTGTGGAGGAGGGCATGGATAAGGCCGTGGCCACGGGAATGGCCATGGTAAATAACATGGAATGTCCCATGGCCAGAGCTGTAACTCATTCCTATCATTGGCTACGGCCATTTCTCTGGCCACAACCAGTTGTTGGTGGCTGCAAAATAAAATTGCAGCCACCATTAACATGAGCATATTCTTCATGGTTGTCATTTTTTCACTGAATTTTTTTGTGGTACATCATGATACATCTATATATAGATAAATTATTTGTGTTACTATGGTAGGAAGGATTTGATATTTTAGGTATAGGATGTACCACATGTATCACATGCAAAAGAAGTTAAATAATCAAGTCCTTTCAAAATGGCCAAGTGATAAGTATTATTGGATAATGAAAAAAAAAATGACAAGATAAAAAAGCTAGACCATACCCCTATTTTCCTGAATTTTCAAGGTTATGAATCTATTTTGTGATATTTTTATAGTACTCATTCATTTGATGTTTTGCTCTTTCTAGTTCGGCAAACTCTACCTAAAAGAATATTAAGGTTATGGTTCCTTAAAAAAAATAGTTTCCATTAGAATAAATGTACAAACATTAAAATGATACTAAAAATTTCTTGGGCTCACATCGTTAAATTAGTCATAGTAAAAGTAGTTGGTAACTAACATTACTTTCACCTTTTTTATTTTAGTTTATTAATCATTCAAATTAAGTGTAAGAGTCTAATCCTTATAAACATGTTTAATTTTCACGATTAAATAACTCAAGGTCTCTGGCCTACATGACCTGACCAATTTGTCAGACACTCGTTATCTATTTTTATTGTTCAAATATTTGACAATCCAAAAAATAATTGTTCAAACTCTTTGATAAATGATGTAATATTATTCAAATTAAGTGTACGAGGCTATTCTGACAACTAATTAGTCATAAACAGAAATAACAACCTACATAGACATGTTGAAAACATAATTTATAGTACCAATATTATTTAAAGCAAGAGGTCAAGTTATTACGCCAAAATAACAGGGAAAAAATGTCATGTTATTTGTACATCATGCCCTTTTATAATTTTGAATTTAAGAAAATAATTTTTTTTATCTCTTATATATAAAAGATAGATCACTTACGTGTAAAAGTAAATCTCATATCTATGTGTTCGACATAAAAATGTACAATCATTTATATATATATATATATATATATAAAGCGGGAAAAATAGGAGATGGCTTGACACCTTTCTTTGGTCAAGGTTCCTATTTACCTATTTTCTCAGTTTTTTTATTTTTTTTCCTCGGATAAACACTCCTGTCCATTACTACCATGGCAAACTTTCGGTTAATTGGCTCAAAAGTTATAGTCCTTATTTAAAGTCTTTAATTTGCCATCAATACTATGTAACCGAAGAAACCTATAGAAGATTCACAGTCAAATAATAATGCTTATTTGAGAGCTCTTTCTGAATGTTATATAAAAAGGCTTACCCTATGTTCCATAGGCATTCCATGAAGATTTAAGGAGAATGAAACTTAAACAGGAGGCTCCTATGTTAGAGTGATTTGGGTTCTCTTGAAAATTCAAATGACAATTTGTCAAGTTTTTTGCTGCTTCTATTACTCTAATTCATATTTTTGATATTTTTTTCCTTAGTGACTCTAAATTGATGTTCTTGTTCAAGTGACTCTAAACTTCTTGATTAATCGTAATTGATATAACAAATTAGGACTAGGAAGGAATGACCCCTCTTTTCCTATTACAATAAACTTTACAATTTGTTCTGGTTCATCTATATGACTAAGTTGTTGCGTGTCCGAAACTGAAATGATGCCTTTTTGGGCATAAAATACGTTTATACAGTTAAAAAAAGTTATATTTCTACCTAAAACGTAGTATAATACTGCGTTTTACAACAATTTGGGCTCACCAAATAAGTGTTCTGCAGGACTGACATTTGTTTGTTAGTGTAAAACGCAGTATAATACTACGTTTTACTTAAACGTAGTATTATACTGCGTTTTACACTAACTTTTGGGCCCACCAATAAGTGTTCTGCGGATAACTGACATAACAATAATTCAAATACATAAAACGTGATATTATACTGTGTTTTACATAAAAATATTCTGCACCGCAAGCTAGGACTTGCCTTATTTAAAGGCGTTAGAATTTTATGAAAATCCATTCAAAACTTTCCTTTAAACTTCCGTTCATACTTCTCTTCTTCTTATCAAGCATTTTTTTATAATGTCTGAAGCCAAAAATAAGGGTTTCATTATATTTAGGGGGGGG